TGTGAAACTGAGCTCTGTGCACATGATGTAAAGAATGAAAGAATATTAAAGTCTTACTGTGACTTTATCATAGGAATTTCCAAATGTAAGTGGACTTTGAACATCTGTCAAAGAATGAAGATTTTACTGACTAATTGTTCCAGATGTAATGCTCTAGGTGATGACAATAATTATTTGGTAAGAGCAGACACATTGCTGAAGTGCTTTTATCACACAAAAAAGATTGAAAGGGAACCTAGTCCTGGCACCCTTTGAAAATGAAAGTCTTTTTTTTGATTGTTGTGGATGTATGGAACCTCAGTTAATTTAGTTTGGTTATGTTGCTTAGCACTTTTACAAAAAAAGTAAGTTATAAATTTAGAAAATGGTTATAAGGACATATAGGGGTTATTGGTTGCTGTTGGGAGAAATTGCTCTGAGCTGCTGAAATTATGAGACTGAATGACTGCCTTGCTCTGAGAGCTGATATAAACTTAATGGGCCGAATGCTTTCCTTTGGTGTAAATTTCACTGCCACAATGAAGAAGGCATGCTGCCAAGAATGAAAACTAAGGATGTATTGCTAAAGTTATTAGTTGGTTGTCTGGCTCAGTTGGTAGCACTCTAGATTCGAGTCTGTAGGCTGCGGATTCGAGCTCGATGTCTGGACTCTGACCTCAAAGTCCAGAATGATGCTCCAATGTAGTGACGGGTGGAGCACTTAATTGTTGGAGATGTTGTCCTTTGGATAAGTCATTAAACTGAGGTTCCAACTGCTTGTTTATGTGTGTGGTTAAAGTTGCTATGTTCCTATTTGAAAAGAAAAAGATTTTCCTGTTTTCCTCTTCCAACAATTCATCAGATAAACATTCACTTCATACCTGCTGTGGGCCATCGCTGTGGACAAATTTGCGACTGCATATACCTACAAATTGCAGTTGCTACTCTTTACAGTAAAATTCTACTTGTGCTTTGTGATGTTCTCCTGACATGAAAGATTCTATATGCCTATAACTTTCCTAGTTCCTTACTGTCAAATAAGAAATTATAGAAATGTATCAGATGCTAAAGATTCAGAGTTCTTGTTCTGAAACAAAATTTGCTTTCGTTGTACAAAGCAATTGCTCGCTTCTTGCTCTGCATAATTGCAAGGAAGACTTTTTATTCTTAAGACGCGTAAGATTCTTAAGACTATTATTGATCAACATACAACAATAAGTGCATATGATATAGCACCTTATCACATTGTCAAAGTCACAAAGTGCTTCACATGATATACTGTAAAGTGGATTGACTATATTTTGTGGTTGAACATTAAACAATCATGCAGAGAGATTGACTATCAACTTCAGAAATATCTGAAGCCATGGCTCTTGTAAATACTTTCTGAAATTAGGTAAGCAGGATGCGTCCCTCCAGGGAGAGAGTGTGCACTCCATTCCAACAATCTGTCTCTGGGGTTTCAAAGTGTAGGTGGGATGTACGGAAATCTCAACTTAGTTTGGATATTCTTAAGCAGGGTGATGGGTTTTAGCGTGTGTCAGACACCCAGCTGACCAAAAAAACCTTAATTAGCGTATTTCTACATAAATATGTGTGACAACAGCTTAAGAAGTCACACATTTTGCTGAACAATTTGACTATGGCAAGTTTGGAACTCTTTCGGTTTTCTTAATCTCACCTAAAACTTTTACTACTTTACAATATCTGAACATAATGTAAAATTATTTTTCAATGATGCATTAGGGTTATGTTAGCTTTTCAGAGGTTAAATTTGCTTCCAATGAGCTAATCCTGACTGATTAATGTCCTATTGTGAACACCTGTTTATTTGCGTGAAAGAAGTTTAGTTTCTTAACATAATCTATGTTGTATTGCGCAGAGCAATTTGCTTACAAAGTAACCTGGAAATAGCTCCAGGTTTGCCTTTTCGCATGGTAGTTTATTAGTGAATCAGAAAGCCAACTACCAGTAATTTCTTCCCTCGTAAATTTGGGGGAAGGAACTCTACAGAGAGAACTTGCATTATGGCTCTTTAATCATTTGCAACGTCATTAAAGGTTGCTATTAAGCAAAGCCTGCATTTGACTCATTATATGAGTATTATGGAATATTCATTTGCTGTCATGGCAAGTCAGTTTAGCTCCTCTACGTAATAAACAGGACTGAGTCCTTACACAGTGTGCTTTCTATTGGTGTCTGGGACAAATGCAGCTTTTCTTACAAGATAGCAAGGTGTAAGATGTATTAATGGTAGGTATCACTTAACTGCCATTCCCTTGGGAGGCTGTAATCCTTCTGGTAATGATGCAGCAATCTGGCATTTCCTCAGTGCTGAGCAATGTCTTAATGGTACTTTCAGAGAGCTAATGTCCTCTGAGAGCAATGGGCTTTCAGAGATAGTGACTGACATGTGTCTAATATAAGATGGCATTATTCAATGGAGCTTTGAGTTTCCTTAATTCCTGATTAGGGGAAGGTTTCGAGATACCTGTGACTGAATCTTTGGATGGAATTTTCTCTAGCGTTTGTGTTCTGATTGCTGAATACCATATGCTACAGACATAAAAGGAAAATGTATTCAATTCACAATATAATGAAATTTCATTGATGCTATTTTAAAACATGGTAGTATATATTTTGGCCCTGCTATGTTTTTGGGTCCGATTACAATTTTTGAGGCATCTACCTGTGATTGATATTCTATGACTTTGTACAAAAAAGTGCAATTATAAAGGCTACTGAAATATTAGTTGGAGCTAGCATTGCGTGACCCCTGAGTTTGTAGTCCAGAGGGTATAATATTTTTTTAAAAATGTCAGTTTCATTGAACTAGTGTTGAATAATCTACTGAGAATTACTTCAATAGTATCTTGGATTATTAACTGGTAACTAATCAAAGAACACAACTGAGTTCTTGTTTCTCAATAATAATAATAATCCTTGCATTTGATAAAATGCTTTTCACATCTTCTAGATGTCTCAAAGCGCTTCACAGAATATACTGTAAAGTGAATTGACTGTATATTTGTGGGCGAAATGCAGCAGCCAATTGTGCACAGCAGTGTCCCACAAACAATCGTGGATTGAAGTGACCAATTTTATTATTTTTTTTCTTGAGGGATTATTGTCAGGCGTGTCGTTACAGTATACTTGATATTGTCGCTCAGGCCTTAATTTACTGGGAATTACTGCAGTTCTTTGCTTTAGTCATTATGGTTTGGAACTGATTTTGAAAGCTTTGACTGACGTTTCAATTTTACTTTATTTAGTTCTTTCCACTTTATCGTCTCCAAAATGACCTGTTTTCTCACTGGGGAAAAATCCATAGTGAGAACCTAGAATGAAATATAGACGATTACCATATTTGTAGAAACCCATATGTTTTCTCTCACGTTTCAGGCTGATTCTATTGGTTTCCTACTTTGCAGAATTTGATGTTAGGGTTCCCCTACCTATTAAATAAAAATTATTATTCGGCAAGAGAAGTCATAAAATCCTTAGCAGTATTGTTAACTTCTTGACTAATCTCTTCAATTGACTATGTGAATTCATCCAGCATCCACTTTTAAAAATCTGCTGCAATCAATGTACATTTGTTTTAAACAATGAATGAGACTATTACAATATTGCATGTCTGAATCAATGATGGCATTAAGCATAACAAATGGCAACTAGTGTTCATATTCTTATTCAGCAGAGAAGTTGATTATTTTCATCTGGGTTTATAGATGAAAAACTGCATTGGAACATGTGGGGTTTTTCTAGGGGTGGTAGGAAAAGATGGAAGTTATTAGTTCAATGCAAAATGCTTTAAGCTCTCCATAAGAGAATCTGGGCTGTAAGGATTAACTGTAAAGATGGGTACAAACCTATGAAGAGATTTGTTGGCAATGTCTATCTTGACTCTAAAGAGATGAGGAATCTATCATCCTGCCTCATTAACCTGTAAATCATATCAGTTTTCAGAATTGGTGGAGAATGTTTTTTTCTAGTTGTAGGGATGCAGAACCTTGCTGACCATTCCATTTGGGTAAAGTGTCTGGCATCTGTGGAACCTGTGAATTAGTGCCATCAGGTGAAGAAGGGTGAAAATTGGTGTAGAAATGTACTTCTTCAGCTCTTGGTTCCATTCAGCTTTAATATAAGTATCTCCTCTGATAAAATGCTCTTTAAGTCTGAAACTGGTCATTGTTGATGTCCTATCTGCCTACAATAGTTTCTTTGGTAATTAATGTATGCTCTTAATGAGATTTGGAAAAGTGAATCTTGCCCAGTGTTAGTCCATAAAGTATACATTTTTTAAAAAAAATAACAATTGGGGAATTTTTATATCAGGCCCTGAAAAGATCCAAAAAAAGAAAATGCATATTTATTGAACTATTTGTCCCATGTGTGCTGAAGAAATCCCCCTAAATGTGTACTTTAGGAAAAACAAATAGAAAAGGATGGGTTGTTTGATTATTTGCTGCCTTACCAAAATAAAGATGAGCCTAAAATCCTGAACAGATAATCGCTGAATAGAATTCAAGAAAACAAAAGGCATTCTTGATGGCTCATGGAAAGTGTTTTTAATTCAGAAATTGCATAATGGAGCATTGGATGTAAAAAATGTTGAAGATTTATCCAAATATTGTGTATAAATGGAAAAAGTCAAACATTGGGTAAAATGGAGAGAAATTAACTCATCATTTACTCAACCGTGCTAACATTTATTTTTCACTGTCTATAGTAAGTTACCACAATTTTTCACCGTGAATTTGTATTCACACTGAATCAATTGAAATCTGCCTTGTTATATTATAAATACTAGTTTCTTGAATTCAGTGATTGAGATTGCAGTTTAAATTGGTGCGAAGTAACAGCTTTAACTGTTGTAATGTATGATTTTGTTACATTTGTAAAATATTATAATTTCTGATTGTCTTGGGCAAGCAGCTTTGAACTGAAGGTTACTGTAGGGGAAAGAAAATACTTGTTTAGATGTCAATGATTTCTAAATGCAATTTCTTTCTTTGCAGGTGTGAACGTCTAAAGAACGATAACTGGAGGTGTCTGGTACCCGGACTCAAGGAAAAGGATTGGCCTTACCCTAGAATATGGTACCTCAGTGTTGGTCAGTGAGTTGTCTTGTGCCAGTCATGGTAATCCTGAGTTACATGGCACATTTCATCCAGACAGACAGTAAGTAAAGTTATTGGCATTCTTCTCTTTCTCTAGCACTATCCTAACACATTTGTTTCAACAGGTAATTCATGAATGTAGAAACAACAAACTCGCCATGGAATTGTATATGTTTTTTGTAGTCCCTTCTATGATGTTCATTTTCCATCCTTTGTGTATCAAAGGATAGAAAATGAACATCATAGAAGAGACTACAAAAACTCGAGCAATGTGGCAGAATTGGAACAAAATGTGATTGAGATAGGTTAACTCTTTTAGATGAATGGCACTAGACACCGTTCAAACACCTGCCTAGTTTCCATTTTGATTGTGTTGGGATGCATGAGGTGTTTTGTACAAAACCCTAACATTTATGTATAAATGTAAAATTATGAGACCATTGCCTTCCATATGTGCGCCGAAGCAAGCAGGGCGATGCACTTCGTAGTTCATCAAGATCAGTGAGGCCTTCCTGAACTTTTAAATGTGGCACTTTTTTCTATTGGGATTGTGAGTTTCACTGACACATTAGCTAAGTTCAATCAGTGGTGTGTTGTGAAGCCTTAAAAAAGACATTTCTATATACCTACATACCATACATTCCAATTGGCTTTTTCATTCTTGAAATATAGTAATTGAGCTTTTATGTGTCATCTACTCTGTTGTATTAACAGCATAATATTTACTAATTGAAGTATAAAAATTGTCTTAAGAGCAGAGTACTGAACTCCACTAAATGTCATTATAGACTTGGACTTCTTGACTCATCATTTTTAAAAACTTTTTTAAATCATAATATTATGAAATCAGTGACCTTAGACAGCAGATTTCTAAAAAGCACATTGTGTTAAGCTAATTTAATAGATTTCTTTGTAAGAATAATGTATAAAGGGGAGGCAATGGATGTCATGCATTTTCGATCGCATGTACATAGAGCCAATTCACTTTACAGAATATTCAGTGAAACACTTTGAGATGTCCAAGGATTATTATTTTCAAACTGTTTTGATAAGGTGTCACGCAAGAACCTTATTGCAGAAATTAAGACACTTGATATTGACTACAATGTGGCAGCATGCAGTGAAAAGTTTAAAAGCTGTGAAGCAGAGAGTAAGGAAAGAGAATGTTCTCCAGACTGATGAAATTCATAATTCAGGGGTCTGAATATATTATACATTATTTCCACATATATAATTGAAACTGGGCACATTGTCTAAATTTGTTATTTATACCAAATTAAGAAGCGTAGGGAAACTGAAGAGAAATTTGGAAGACTAAAGGGTAGCATAGACATGTTAACGTGTGCGTGGGCAGATAAATTGCGAATGGATTTTCAATACTGAAAAATCTAAAGTAATACAATTTAGGAGGAGGATGAAAGAAAGGAAATGTACCCTAAATGATAACATTCTTAATTAAATGGAGGAGGGAGGGAGTGTAAGTAGAAAAGGCTGTAAAATGAAAATCTTGAATTTGAACAAAGCATTTGTTAGGCCCAAGTTGGAGTATTGCAGTTGCAACAGTTACTATGTCTTTTTGATAGTTTTAATTTTCTTTCTTTCTGATCTACGTGAGGTGACAACTTTTCTGGAAAATGTGAAGAAACCTCCTTGCATGTGAAGATTTTTATAGTTGTTGTCCAAATTTGTTGCCCATTAATTTGCAAACCATAGCATTAATGTTGGCACGTAAATGACTTAAATTCATTTATCGGTAGTTTTTGCAGGCTTGAACTTGCAGCATTGATTTATAACATTAGTTGATGTTGCAGTAATAGGCACATATGTTTAAACATTCATGACAGATGTATTATTGCAAGAAATTAAGACATTAAGAGCAACTAAAACTTGAGAATTAAACTAATAAACAACTGACGCAGGCTAGATGAAATTACCCCACTGAAACTGTATGGATGTTTCTTTCATGATACCTTCACAGTTTTACATTTGCTACACAGCATTTTTAATATCAAACACTCATGATCTTTAATTCAGTGAAGAAACAATTGACTATTAAGTATCATCTGTAAACTTCTATTGTAAGCGTTTACCTAAATTTGGTTATAATTATTTATTTTTTACATTTTTTTAATCTCCCCTCCCACCCCCAATTCACCTGATTTGTTTAGCTGGTTACTATGAAAATATCTCCTGCTAGTAGAGATTACTATTTTTTTTTAATGTCAAATTATTTTAATTTATTTTGTTTTAATTTAATTTGGTCGTGTATTTGTCTTCATTGGACTGCACCTTTATTAAAACTCAAAAAGAGTCCCATTGAGTTTCCTATCAAAACCACTTTGATTTCTTTGCACTAGTATGTATTTATTCACATCCTCGTAATATCGCTCCCTATCCCCCATTACTCCTTCACATATCGCCTTCATTGAATCAACAACAACAGCAAAGTGACATTTATATAGCCCCTTTCACGTCGGGAGGACCTACCAAGGCGCTGGACAGACAGAGTTACGGACCCGAGCTGAGGGTTGGGGTGGAGGAGAGTGAGGGGGAAGCAGGGAGATCGAAAGCAGGGTCGATGAGGAGGCTCTTGAGGCAGGTCTTGAAGGTGCCAAGGGAGGGGGCGCAGGAAATTACATCCTGACCCTGTTGTCCCATACACACTTACCGATAGGCTGCATTGAACCGCGAGAAACATAGTCTTGATCCATCGGCACGCACGCATGGGAACTTAATTTCCCATGATTCATTATTGTTATTCAATGCGATTCCAATGCTTGATGGTGAATGCACATGTAATAATAATAATAATCCTTGCATTTGATATAGCGCTTTTCACGTCGGGAGGACGTCCCAAAGCGCTTCACAGAACACACTGTAAAATGAATTGACTGTATATTTGTGGGTGAACGGGGGGGTCAAGATGCACTGAATCATGGGAAACAGTCTTAACCTGTCAGAGCATGCACATTTACCAGCCACAACTTAGACTTTGCGTAAGTCGTGCTAAATGTTATGGTCCCGACTAGTAGCACTTATGAGATTTACTGTATTCAATTTCCAAACCACCTGCTGAGCCTTGTTCCAGTGAACACCTTTGTGGCTTCTTCTCTTAGTGGAGTTTCCACCTCAAATAGTCAGAGTGGATTAATGAGGCAAGACCGTTGCTTTAAATTTAATCTCCTTATTGTGTGCGTACTCCTCAGATGAACATGGAGAGATTCCAATAAAATGCTCTCAAGTAATTTTTCAATCATAAATTGTTGACGTTTCATATATTTATGGATTATGAATTAAAATAGCGGCTGGTTGTCTAAACCATTTCTGTGAATGCATTCTGGTCTAAAGGAATAGATTAATACATTGGGAAGAATTTAAGCAGCATTACTGTGATTTATTTTGCTAAACTATTAAAAATAAAACAGTAATTCAGCTTGCATAAAACATAATAAAAAGTCAGATAATGCACAAAATGTTATTAATGCCTTAATCCACCATCAGCTACCAAGCTCTTTATTAGGCTATTGCATCTGTCGCTACTTGCCAGCTCTCTTTCAGCAGTGTGTTGTCGGAGCCAAAAGCACAGACAGCAGTATCAGCTTTTAGAAAATGGGCTTGTTGGACTGTATAATTTGTCTGATAAATTGATTTATGAGTGTGTTGAATCTTTAGGTCATTATGTAGTTTGCACTCCAGGCCTCTGCTGGCTGCTGTTCCTTCCAGTAATATCCTTTTGGATTGCATACTCTCAGTATCACGTCGCACTGAATGGATTTCAGTCATGTGGATACAGTGTAGAATGAGTGGTCAGGAAGGTGTCAGCAATGAATTGAAAGAGATAATTTTTTGCAGGGTGATCAATGTGTCTGTGTACTGTCCTTGAAGGTATTATAATACAAAAGCTGTTCACTGTGAATTTGAAATGACCTTGTATAAAGCGTGTGAATAGCCTTTTTTCAAGGACAATTTAAAAAAAGTGACCCTCTTACGGTGGTTGATAACCTTTTTATAATAGTTTGACGGTGTAATAGAGTTTGATAGTACACAGGTTAAGATGTGTTTCTCCCTCTTTTCCTCTCCCCTCCATGTTCCGCGTTGCTGACTTTTGTGACCAGTGTTCAGACTCATTTTGCATATTGGCTAACAGGTGAGGATAGGAGTGTTTGCTGAATCAAATGTGGAAGTAGACCTGTGATAGGTAATATTCTGAAAAACAATAGTGCATTGTTAATTCTTTCCCTACTATCCAGATTCTCATCTTTTTCTTCCCCTCCCCATTTAATTGCTACTCTGATAACATGCTCTTTTGATGAACCTTTGCCCTAGGTTGGTGATTGTAAACTATTCAACTATTGGGGAATTATATTTAAACCTGATCTTGTCTTCATGGAAAAATATAAGCACTTTATAGTGACCATATATTCTTGTCTCATTGTTTCCCCCTACTATCATTCTACATTCTGCTTTTGATCACTGAACAATTGGGAGTATAGTGATTGTGTAGTTGCAGGTGAACACGATAGCCAATTTGCGAACAGCAATGGCCCAGAAGGAGCCCTGAAATGAATGAGGAATTTTATCTGGAAGATCGTTAACCAGGACAACCGGAAAAAATCCATTTTGATAATACCATGGGATCTGAGATCTTTAAGGTTCACCTGAACAGATGAGACCTTGTCATCTATGTCCTCCGAAGGCTGTGAGCTCAAAGTCCAGAGATGGAGTTTGAACCTACAACATTCTGATTCCCCAAATGAGTCTGTTACCAACTAAACCAGACTGACTAGATTAGAAGAGAACTTTGTAAAAGAAGACTCTCTGATCCATTTGATCTCATCTTCAATCCACCAGTTAAAACATCATATTGTTTCTTAAATGAGCCCCATGGCCTGGCCTTGAGCACTGTTTTTGGTATTCCCTTCCAACTGTTGATTCCCTCTAGGCAGAGAAATGCTTTCTTACAACCCTGACTATTTTGAAGGATATCCATCTATCTTTGGAAAATGTATCAGTAGATCTTCCCTTCTTGTTCTCACCCCCCCACCCCCCGCCCCCCCCACACACACACTTCTGTTATTACAATTGACCCTCCTACCCCTGACATTTGCCTATCCAAAGTTACATACTGGAGTTTAGATGAGCTGTTTTCCATATTGATACAAATGTTATCATGCTATAGTCTTTTTAACTCCTCCCGGTTCAGTTAATTCTCTTCTCAGTAGTGTCTAGATCCGTGTAGGTTCCCTGAATTAGGATGCAGTCATGCACTACATTGGGAAGCTGCATCTTTCCCATTGTAAATATAGAGACTAACCTAGTAAAACACAGGCTGAAGTATAATTCATTTACCTAAAGTGGATTACCGTTATGGAATAGGACCTATAATTTGCCTAAGAGCATTAGATACGACAAGATCCAGCTGTTGTTTTTGAAAGCATGGATTTGATGGGCAGCTGTTATTTACTCAAATGGATCAACTTTTCAGCTGTTGAGGCGCTTGTCTTTTGTTATGCTAATCTGTACCACTGACACTATCACTGCTGTTTTATTTCTCCAAATTTCTCTTGAGACTGATTACTTGGGTCTCCAGCTATAATCTCTTTCAGTGTTGGGACATGGCCTTTGGCCCATTTATAACATCTTCTGCAGAAATGTTATAATGTGCACAAGAGGAGCCACCTGCCACCATACTTTGCCATAGGATTGTGGTGTGTGCCACTCTGGTAATGATCTTATGTATGCTCCCCACATACACTGTTGTGCCCATAGAACCTGGCCCTGTCAGATGTCTTAATCCACTTTTTTTCTATTTGTACCATCTATCATTGGCTTCATACAATTCTCTATAAACATTAACATGATGGTTTGGATCTTGCTGTGTTGGAGACTACATTTCTTATTTCAAAACCTAGTGTGATTACACTCCCATGTACCCTCTTGGTCTCTGACACTTGAACTGGATGTTACATGGGAAAGGCATCCAATTCAGTAGAAATTTCTGCTGTTCAGACTGTCCTTTGAGCTGAGCGGGCTTTGTTCCATCTAGACCAATGAGGCCCATACATATGTGCGGATCCACGTATACCCTCCAATATATTGGATCATTATATTACATCAGTGATTAAATTACACTCACATTTCCATCTTGTTTGTAAATTATGCATTTTATGTAGAGTAAAAAGCCCCCCCCCCCCCCACTCATCCATTTGTAGCGAACGAAAGGGGTTATGACTCAAAACGAAGCATAGTGTAATTCTGAAATGTTTATTGATATTCCCTTTCATCTCTGATGTTTCATTTCAAGCTCATCTGAAAGTTGGTGTCAAAGCCTAGACACAAGGTCTGGTGGTTGTTAGTGACATCAAGGTGAGTCTGTCAGAGATTTCCCTTGTGTGCATTCATCTCTGCAGCTGTCAGGGTGTGTGACATGCACAGTTCTTTCCTGTCAAAGGCTTGTGATCATGGTCTTTTTATCCCACAATGGCATAACCCATACAGGCGTATTACACTTCCAGTGGTTTGAGCTGGGAACGTCTCTGACAACAGTGATCAATTTTTGAAAAGATTCTTTGAGCGACCAGAAATAGCTTTGCTGCACAAATTGGATTTTCCTACTTAATTTTATCCTCCAATCGTACATTGTAGCATATCTAACACATGCAATAATTGTTTGGGTTTTTCTAAATTGTTTGTTTTACTTAATCTTCCCCATTTCATGAGGATAATCGTGTCTTTCCAGCGCCCTGCCTTATGTAACAAGAGGATCTTTTGAATAGTGACTATAATATGACTGAATTCTGTATCAGGGTTGGGGTGTGAGGAAAGAGAAGCTAATTTTGAAGGGTGAGGAATGAACTGATGGTTGGTAAACCAATGGATTAACCGAGTACTTAATGCATTATAGAATTTATTTATATATATATAATATACACACACATATATATATACTACAAAGGAATAAATATATATATATCTATATACACACTAGATGGTGGTAGATCTGAGATAAAGCAACCTTATAATGGTATGAGGAATGTACTGGCTGAGGTGGACTAGAGAGAAAAATTTAGCAGGAACAATTTCACCCAGGCGGTAGTGACAATGTAGAACTCCCTGTCCGAAACAATGATTAAATCAGATAGTATAGATGCATTCAAGGGGAACCTAGACTTTCACATTGGAGAGAGGGGAATAGAAGGTTATGGGAGCGAGTAAGAAATGGATGAAGGTTCCTGTGGAGTAGAAACAACAGCATGGACTGGTTGGCTGAGTGGATGGTTTTCGTGCTGTACATTCTTTGTAAGCATGGTAGGTTGTTAAGGCCATTATTAAAGAAAAGAAAAATTATTGTATAAAGATTAGGGTAGGGGGCAAGATTGGAGATGGTGAGGATTATAGAGAGCCCCAAAAAAAGAGCAAAGAGGGAGTATGCATTCATTGTTTTCTAAAGTTCTCTATATATTTTCTCTACGGAATAGTAACAAAGGAAGAAAACAACATGTCATTATTCAAGAAGGGTGTAAGGGACAAATTAGGTAATTGTAGGCCAGTAAGATTAACATCAGTAGTGGAAAAATTGCTAGAATCCATCATCAGGACAAAGTAAGTGATCAATTGGATGAATTTAAACTGATTAGCAAGACTGTCTTGGTTTTGTGATAGATAGGTTAGATCTAATTAACCTAATGGAGTTATTTGACAAAAAAGAGGGGGTAAATAGGAGAGGGATCAGTGGGTGCCATCCACGTTTTTCCCCAGAGGAGAATTAATAAGGTTCTGCACCAGAGATTACTAACTAAAATTAAGACACATTGGATGAGAGGAACCTAGTCCATGCATAGGACATTGTTGAGAGGTTATCAAGAAATAACCTCAGGTAAAACTTCCAAAGACAAGACAATTGTGAAAATACTGAAAGCAGTGGAGCAAAACCAAAATTCAGTCCATGGTGTGAGTCTAATGCCCCATTTATATGGGACAGATCTGATTACCTGCATTTTCACCAATCATCTTGAGTGTTAACTGACACTTACTTGGTCACCATTCATTGGTTCAAAGACTACTTATTATGCTCAAGAATGTGAGCATGAATTCATGAAACTTGACCTTACAGGTATGTGAGCAAATGCACCCTTTTGGCTTCAGCAAAATTGTGTAGCATTGTTGATGATTTGGGCCCCACTTTTTGGATGGAGATAGATTATCGGTTTGAATTTTAAAATAGCATAGGACAGTAGAAAGGGAATTGAAATTGTCTGCTTTTATGTTATATACTTAATTTAGGCACTATTGCTGTGAATTCAGCAGGTGAATGCTGAAATCATTGCAATACAGTTTTTGATGCAGACATTTATTTCATTCAAGGCTGTTGCTGACAATAGCCTGAAAGCCTGGAGACGTATAACTAATTAGATGTGTTTAAGTGGAGATAAAGTAGTTGTACCTTTGTTTTATGGTAATAATAAAACATATCTACTGTCTGTTGTTAGTTTGATGCAAGTATGACAAATAGTAAACATTACATGATAGAAATGTTGATAATTGAAATGCATTTATTCATGTATTTATTCAGTGTGATAAAACGGTATAAAGATATTTGACTTTTTGGGTAGAAATTCCATCTAGACGTAGATTTATTCTATTAATGAAATATTTTCAGAGTGTGTAGAATGTGGCACATTGAACTTCAGTTTTAATTCTCTAGCCCATTTTCTGTCAGTTCCTAAAATAACTTACAGAAAACAGGCTTCAGAATTAAAGACAGTCTTTGACAATTTGTCAAATTCGGGATTCTCTGAAATAAATCAAGTTCCAGATGGCATTTGAATTACTGAATACCGTGAGTTCAGATATTATTACCTAGCAATGGTACACAATATCATATCAGAACAATATATACTTCTGATGTAATTTTGTATGTTACTGAGGGCAAGAGTTGCAATCCAAAGTATTTGCTTCAGAGATATACTGTAAGTTCATAGCCAATTTGAAGATTTTGATCGGATGCACAGTGTTTGGTGCGCCAATCCTCATTGACAAAACATAAGTTCATTCATGTGGAAGAGTACTTGATTTCAGCACCCTATCTATCTGACAGTTATTTTGTTATTATGGGTTTTGAGTACCTCATCACTGCACATTTATTGGATATGTTGGCTCCTATTAAATGGAGTATGTAGCTACATAAGTTATGCGAACTGCCACTGTATTTTGCCCTGTCTTTATGCAAACTGAAATAAAGCAGAAAATGCGCAGTACGTCAAATAGTATCTGAAAGAATAAGTTTAATATTTTGGATATGACTCGTAATCTGAACTGGAATGGTTGAGCTGGAAAAAACTACTTTTTTTTTATATAGGGCATGTAGTGTCAAAACAAGAAAACCTGCTCCCATGGCCATATCTATCAAGTGGGATATTGTGCACAAGTTAGTGTCACGCAAAAAGTCACTATTAGAGTCACAATAGTATCACTAAACTTGATGGTAAATCCTGTGAAGTGCTTTGGCACATCTGCCTGACCTGAAAGGTGCTGTATCAAATGCAAGGATTATTATATGGTGAAAGTTGTTATCAGATTCTTCCTGGAGGAAGAACTGAAAGGAATGTTTTAAAAGATGTACCACTATCTCTCTCTATTTAGACAGCGCTATTGCTATTGAATATGAATTCCTACAAGTGCATCTTGTTGAGTTTTTGCAGACTTGTTTGGAATTGAAGAGATTCTGCAAATCCTCAAAATATAATTACTGGTAAATTAACAAAGATCAACGATTAAACTTGGGACCTTCCTAGTCCGTAAGATTCAGTACTCCATTATTTACTGTGCCATTTGAAGAGGTTACAGATTTTCTGTCTTTTGCTACAGTAGAAATTCTGTTATCTAAATCTATAAATATTTTATTACCTCAGTATTTGTTGTGTCCAATTCCATTTCATTTAGATATGTTGGATTAATGGTAGGAACTACTTATATAGAAATTCCCAAACGTTTTGAGGTACATGCGCACAAAATCAAGGCTGTTAACTCATCTACAACAACTCTATCTTTTCTAGCCGTGCCAAGTTTTATCCGAATCCCTGTGGATCAGATTGGAATTTCTGGAGGAGTGGCCTCATTTGTGTGCCAGTCATTTGCAGAACCTAAACCTAGCATCACCTGGATGAAAAAAGGCAAGAAAGTCAGTTCTCAGCGATTTGAGGTAAGATGGTCTGTCTTTTCTAAACTTTGATTCAGAAGGTTTTGGATTTAAATTCCACATTGGGACTTGAACTCACATAAGTCTATGGTGACACTCCAATGGAGTGCTTGGGTTGTGTTGCAGTGCTGTCTTTCAGATGGGACATTAAACCAAGGTCCCATCTGCCTTTTCAGGTGGATGTCAAAGGACATTAAAGATCCAAGGAGAAGGGAGTTTTCCCGGTTTCCTGGCCAACAATCCCCCAAATGAAATTGCTCATTCGTTTCATGGCTGTTTGTGGAACATTGCTGTGTGCAATTGTGCTGCCGTGTTTGCCTACAAATGCAGTCACTCCATTTCACAGAAAATTTTGTGAAGCGCCTTGAGACGTTCTTCTGATGTGTTAAGACGCAATACCAAATGCAAGAGTTATTTATTATTATTTGAGGCGACGATCCTTGAATGCTACCTAAGGTGATAATTTACAACTATTGTAGTCAAATTAGTGTTAAAAGTCTGCAATACAGAAGTCAGTCCTGTCATCTCCTCAAATCGTTTTCTTCATGCAATTAGATGCTTCTTACTTCATTTACAGGTGATAGCATTTGATGATGGCACTGGGTCAGTGCTTCGAATTCAGCCACTAAGAGCGCCTCGAGATGAAGCAATTTATGAATGCACAGCGACAAATAGTGTTGAGAGGATCACAACAAGTGCCAAATTAACAGTTCTAGCAGGTAAGCACTTTTTGTATTTTGGTGCAGCTTTAGTGGGTTTAATTAACCTGTTCATCCAAACCCTTATTATGGAAGCAACTATATATTTTGTGAGTTGATTCAACTACCATTAAATTTCATTTCCTAAAATTGGGGACTTCCTAATTTTTTCCTTTCGTTTATCTTCCCTCCCAAATTCACTGGTGTGAACCTTTTGCTTCTTGTACCAATCGTCTCTGTGAAAAAATGTCAGCTTTGGGACCACATTGTGCTGTGGGATTGTTGCTAAATAGGAAAGTTTGAGATTAGTGTAACTAGTTACACATAGCCTGACACCTGGCTGAGTTGAATGATAAAAAAATATTTTCCATGTATGGACTGCCCTCTTCAAGTCACAAAACCCATTGTCAAGTTAGCTATTTCTCTTTCGAGATGACTTTGTTTATAATGACCTTGCAACTTGTCTGTTCTGTTGCCATTGATCACCATTAATGGCCTGCAGTCAATAAAGTACTGATTGCTGTCGCAAAAGCAAGATTACAAGAGATGTTTGAGCTGATAAACCATACAAATTTAGAATGTGGATTCAAATAGATGCTAAAGTAAAGTCAATGGTTCTTGTAAAAAAGGGACGTGCCAAAATTTAGCTCTAGAATGAACAATATGCAACAGAGCAGGTACAGAAAATTGTTTAATTGGAGTGGCTAATACCAGCAGATGGCTGAAGCAGCGAAGGCGTTAACTAGAGGATAGAGATTGCAAAATGAGGTATTTAACAACCTGAGTGAGTTTCTATGAAACCTTAAAATCAAGCTGTAGATGAGCTCAAGTATTGTATAGTCAATAGCATTGCTTCAATGTGAAAATTGGCTTTAAACTCTGAAATCGGATCGGAAATAACTGAGTTCTTGTATTGTGGGTGATTGTAAAAAAAAACTGTGAAAGGTTCTTTAGCATTTTGTTTAAAAAATGTGGATCAGCTGTTTAAACACTAACCAACATTCTTTCCCGATTTGTTTTTCATTTGTGCTTTATGATTTCCTTTGAATCATCCTGACTAATTGCCTTTTAACACGCTCCTGAATTAGTGTTGATGTATAAGCCTTAGACGCAGTGCAAATGATAGCAATGTGTCTGATCTCCACTGTTAGACCTTTGAGGAATGCCTGGATAACCAAGAAAGTAGAAAGTGTTTACAGAGAGTAATAAATGACTGGTATAAATTGGTATTCTGAATGATGAGATCAAATGGGCCAAAGGGCCTATCATCCACACCTCTTTTGTGATGTGTGCAAATAAATGTATATACAAATTTATTGGATTTTTTACTTCAAGTGATTGTGGATATTTTACGTGCAAAATAATTAAAAAGATAATATCTGGAGTGGGTTAATTAAGGTTCATTAATTCAATAAATATCAGCACAGTCTTATTTCTTACATGCATTTTTTTGGGTAATAGTTCTTCCTTGTATACGCAGATTGTTGCTTTTGCTGACATTCAATTTGTATCATCTAATCTTCAAAGGAAAATTTGTTGTTGAGGTTAATTGGAAACTGTTAAAAGTTCTTCAGGTTCTGTTAAAAATGGTGGATCAACTGTTTAAACTCTACCCACCATTCTTTCCTAATTAGTTTTTTTCTAGAAAGAATGTGTTTTAACCAGATATTTCCCAGTCAGTGCTCATTAATATACAAACATAGATTTTTTTTTTAAAATGGCCAAACCTACTAACTTATAACTTGCTAGTTATTTCTGACCTTGCTACCAGAACAAATATGAATCCTGTTCAGCAAGAATAAAATTGTGGCTCATGTTTTGTAGAATGCATTTTTTTTGTTTACTTAACAAACTATATAAATTAAAAGCAGAAATATTTAATATTATGCAGAGACTCGTCATTATGGTGATGACGTCAATGTACCCATCAGTCAAACCTGATCTGCTCCAGTTTGCACCGTGTCCAATTGGCTGATCAGCTTTTGCAATGAGATGCTAGTTGCCCTGACAACAGCATATTATCTGTTAATAATACATCACAAAAGTTGTAATTAGGAAATTGTGTCCATATCCTTCAAGAAATTACACTGATAAAATATTTCCATACGGGTTAAAAATAATACTTGAGTTCATAAAATTCAAATCTGTACAATGTTTCCAGAAAGCACATTGGGGTGGGAGGAGGTGGTGGAGGAGAGAGAATCCTTAACCTTGACTGTTGAAACATTAGTTCATCGAATTAGTCAGGTTCAACAAATCTAATGTTCCTTCCTTTAGGACATGCATCTGTTTGAAATTCTGTTGTTCTACAGGTTATCTGACAGCATTTTTAACAAAAGGCAATGGAAGACTAAATCCATTGATACAGCAAGAACTTTTTAAAATATAAAGCATTGAGATGTGTTGGACAGTAAAGCTTTTGATCCATTTTCTGCTATTGAAGTTGGCATTGGAAGAATCAGAGTTCAGGAAATTATGCTTGTCAACATTGTGTTTTGCAGTTCTGTGCATTTACTGATTGAAAGACATCTTTGATTTAAACTTATCACCTTGAAGATAACAACATGTTTGAACGGGAATGTGTGTAGAATGTAGTGCTTCATGAACTTCCCTTCCTAATGTTAGCGCACACATACACTTTGTGCCCATTTCACTGAACTAATGACCAACTGGAATCTGTTAGGGAGCCTTGATGCTGATGATTATTTTCAAAATTAGATTAGGTTTTAAAGAAAGTCTTGTTGGACGTGTACTTTCCTCTACAAAGAAGTTCTCCTTGAGCCCTTTTTTATCATTAGAATTTATGTTGTGTTGAATCACACACAATTGGGAACATCAGGCAGTGGAAGTTACTGAAAAAAGATCATAAAATTCCTTCAATCTATTGGCACTGAACAGCACATATGTCTGTTACGTGCTAGTAGATTGAAAATATGGGTTTCAGTCTACTAGTAGATAAAAAAGACAGTGGATGAAGGTAGTGCAGTTGATGTAGTTTATAGGGATTTTCAAAAGACGCTTGATAAAGCGACACATAAGAGACTTGTAAACAAAACAGAAGCCCACAGTATTAAAGGGACAGTGGCAGCATGGATACAGAACTGGCTGGGAGACAGAAACTAGAGAGTGAGTGATGGTGGACAGTTGTTTTCCTGACTGGAGGCAAGTGTGCTGTGGTGTCTCGCAGGGATCACTGCTCTTTTTGATCCATATAAATGACCTATATTTGGGTATAGGGAGTACAATTTTGAAGTCTACAGATGATATTAAGCTAGGAAAAGTAGAAAATGGATAGTAGCAGACAGCAAGGTGACATAGACAGACTGATAAAATGGGCAGACAAATGGCAGATGAAGTTTAATGTGGAGAAATGCAAAGTGGTGCATTTTGTGAGGAACGAGGAGAGCAATATAAGCTAGATGATGGAATATTAAAGGGGGTGAAGGAACAGAGAGATCTGGGGGTTCATAAAAGGAAATCTTTGAAGGTGGCAAGGCTGGTAGATAAAGCTGTTTTTTTTAAAAAAAGCATACGGGATACGGAATACAAAAATCAGGAAGTTATGATGAACTTTTATAAAACATTGGTTAGGCCTCAGCTAGAGTACTGTGTTCAGTTCTGGGTACCACACTTTAGGAAGAATGTCAAAGCATTAGAGGGGGTGCAAAGAAGATTTACAAGGATGGTACCAAGAATGAGGGACTTCAGTTATGAGGAGAGGCTAGAGAAGCTAGGATTATTCTCCTTGGAGCAGAAAAGACTAAGAGGAGACTTTGTGAGGGGATTCGATAGGGTGAACAAGGAGAAACTATTTTGACTGGCAGGTGGGTCAGTAACTTGAGGACACCAATTTAAAATAGTTGCTAAAAGAAACAGAGGTGAGGAGAGTTTTTTTCACATAGCAAGTTGCTCAGATCTGGAATGCATTGCCTGAAAGGGTGGTGGAAGCAATTCGGTAACAACAAAGAGAGAAGTAGATAATTATTTGGGGAAGACAAGTTTGCAGAGCTACGGGGAGAGATCAGGGGAATGGGATTGATTTGGATAGCTCTTTTCAAAGAGCTGGCACAAACGCAAAGGGCCAAATGGTCTCCTTCTGTGCTGTATGATTCTATGATGTCAAACAATAATTTTAGAGACACAGTCATCAACTGCATGCCTCCCCCTGCCCCCCACCCCACCACACACACACACACACAATCACTTGTAATGGATCAAGTGTCTTGTTTTGAAAAGTGAAAATGATTAGCAGAAATTACCATTAAGTACATTTGTTCCAGTGGCACTGAAACTGAAGAGGATGTTTTTTCGAGGTGTACCATCTGTGAATAGAAATGGTATTCCCTGCTTAAAAGTTGCTTGTAGGTAACTTAAGTTTTACTGGAAAAAACTTGGTTCATGATGATTGTTGTCTTTGATCTTTACCTCAAAGGCAATCTTTAGGCGTGGATGACAAATTACCCAACAATATCATTATGTTGTTGTGTAAACATTATACAATCATGGCAAAGTTTAATCTGTGGTCCTTCTTGTCATTAGGGCAAATGGTGCATGATACTGCAGCTTGATGGGTAGGATTAAATAGGCTTCTATTTGAATTTGCTAACTTAATGCCTAATTAATGTCATTACCCTCTGATGTTTGCATACCGTTATGTCTATTCCAATGCAGTTAAGTCTTGAAAAAACCCTCTAACAGGGTGAAATCAAAAGAGGAATCTTAAATCAAATAATGATTTTGCTATTTTTAATGAAAACAAAAAGATGTTGTAACCTCTTTAGTCAGCTGTCACTGATAATCACCACAAGCCATAAAGCCGTTTACATGAGGTAACCTGACACTCAAATGGCAGACTTAATATTTTCTGTTGTGTTTGATGGTATTTGGCTAATGGCCATTATTGGATTAAAGTTGTAGTTTAAATGCTGGAAGGTAAGATTAATTATAGTCAGAAATATCTTTTAAGGAGGTGGAAGAATTGTCGGTTTGAAACCTATTGTTTTTTAGGTAATCGGCACTGT